AATGCATGAACCACATTAATTTCTATAACTACTATAACCTCATTTCTTCTTTCTTTATCCAGCAAACTAACCTCAAAGTTAACAATTACGTACTTACCACGTGGACTTATTTTCAAATTTACCTCGTAATACACGTCACGTAGATAGTTAAATATGTAAAAATAATATTGTCCCTTCGGCCAAATTGTAATTTAACTAATCAAATATTATAAATTAAATTTTTGCGGACATTTTATTAAAATTAAATGTTATCGTCGCATTCACCGATATTTCATTAACAATACAAACAGTTAGTTAATGCAGTGTACATATTTGCTTTGATAACGAAATCAAATTTTTTTTTTTTAATTAAAAAAACACTGTCCGAAGCGTTATGGGGCGCCCATCAACCATCAATCGACATTTAATTAAAGTGTTACGGGTAATTATTTTCATAAATAATTATTTATTCGCCTAATAATCCATGATTATTCAGTAGGATACTTCAGAACTTCTACAGAGTGTCTCAGGAGAATTATTCGTATAGTCGAGTTGATAATAATCATATTTATTTTTTTATGTTGGTAGTACTAGTTGGTAGTAGATGTGTGTCAAGTGTTAAAGTCACAAAAAGCGTAATAATTCTATAATTTTTATTATTAAAATAGCTAAATTTAGACAAAACAACGGGCGCTGAACAACACAAATATGCCCATTGGATGTTCATTCGATATACATTTTTGGTCGTCTAGGTCAAGGGTCTTCAAACTACAACCCGCGGGTAAAATCCGGCCCGCCAGTATCATCAATCCGGCCCGCGACAGCTAATCTTATTGTTGCTATGATAAGTTGGATAAAAAAAAACAGAATGATAATAAGTCTGAATGATTTACTTGCTAGGTATAGCTTAATGACAAGTATAATATGCAGAAAATGTACCTTAAGCAAAATCGACGGGAAACTCAGTCTCAGTAGTGTGGCTGAATATTTTACATGTTTTAAAATGGGTGAAATATTTTTTACGTAATTGTGATTAAAACAGCATTATTTTCTGCCGGAACGATTTGATATTAGTATATAAATCAGGGAAAAACTGGATTTTTCCTTGTAATCTCAAATTCAGTTCGTTCATATGTTTTGTCAAATCGGCATAGAATGCTAATTTCCACAGCCATTCTCTATTTTGTAATTCGGTAAGAGGGCGACTCTTCTTATTTAAAAAAAATTCGATCACTGCTTGAAGTTCAAAAAAGCACTGAAGCCGCAATTAAGCCAGCGTACGGCAGTATGATATGGTAAGTCATTTTCTCCCATCTCTTCAATAAACTCGCGAAATTGTCGGTGATTCAGCCCAGTGGATCTGATGAAACTAACAACTGATATGACCGGTTTTAGAACTTCAGACCTATCCAAACATTTTCCGCAGAAGGACTGTTGATGAATGGTACAATGTAAGACTAATGGTTTTGAACCACCATCATTTTCTACAGCCTTTGACACATGTTTTTGCCTCCATCAGTTGTAATAGATTTCAAGTTTTTCCATCGAAGATTCTTTTTATTAATGGCATTTTCAACTACCTTAAAAATATCTTCCGCAGTAGTTGTGCCATGAATACTATTAATATCAAGAAGTTCTTCATACACCTTATAGCTTTCATCTACTCCTCGAATCAAAATCAACACCTGAGTAGTATCTAACACATCCGTTGATTCATCCAAGGCTAGAGAAAAATACTCAAGAGTGGAATACAACAGAACTTTCTTGAACCACTGAGGTTATTTACAAATGTTTAATTTTTACTGCAATTTCGAAAGTACCACTAGCGTCATCTGTTAGCGATATAGGGTACTACCACTATCTATTTCCGCTTTTAACCACTAGATTTCGTGAAGTGTCAGGGTTCTAACAATAGACAATATTAATTCAACTAGCGAATTTAATAAGCGTATGCTAGCTCAGGGTGCGTACTGGGCGACTAGTCTAGAAATTATAGATAATTGCAGAAAAATTGAAACGGTTTTGGCCCTTGGAACTTACTGGAGTAATCAGTATGGCCCTAAAGCTAAAAAGTTTAGAGACCCCTGGTCTAGGTCACTAAATTTGATTCATTTAGACTTCTTTCTGTTAGGGTGGGATAGCTATAATTTTAACTTACTGTACGTACATATAGAGAATCTATATCACTGTACGCATTAAATTAAGCAAATCCGCATCTGTCCCAGTCAACCAAAAAGAAAAAAAAAACATTAAATCTGAAGTATGAAACTTTTCTAATTAATTCGCGATTGAAGCTTGTCTCGATATTCCGCATAATTTGAATTTTGATGTCAACAAAATGGTTTCGATGTCGTTGTTTGTTTAAAAATCTTTCTCTCAGCTTTTCCAAACTTTCCTGGCTTGATCTGATTAAACCGTTAAACTAACAAATAAAATCTGATAAATCCGACAAGGTTATGTATGAGTCATGCGCTAGTATCGTCAAAATCTTATTGGCGATTCAATCTAAGTGATACGCCCTCTGGGGGTCGATTCTCGACTTGTAGGAACCTTTTCCTATAGGAATTTATGACACTTTCCTATATGTAGGAAAATGTCATAAATTTTCGATGTATATAAAAATGTCAAAAACTCCTATAGGAAAATATTCCTACGAGTCGAGAATCGACCCCCTGTAGGTCAAATGTTTGTTAGTTTTTAAACTAGGAGGAGCGAATTAAAAAGTCGCATTTACACAGGGAAAAGTAACTGGATATCATTTTAGCGGTAAATTTGAATCTGATTTTTGTATCATTTAAATAAAAACATTGTTATGAATGCATTAAAGTCAAAGTTTTATATAACCAACGAATTAAGATAACCTGACATTATTGACTTTGTTTACGGTGGGAGTTTTGCCCTCTACAAATTCATCGACTGAAGGCGGTACTAGTGGACTGTATGTTTTACTAGAAACACCTCCTTATCCATGATAATGAAACGCTGATGAAAAGTACATATTACAGTACACTTACTGATAGGAGTGAGTACATATTTTATACACATATATGTACACTAAAAAAAAGAAAACAACACACTGCCATAAAAGAAACTTACTATTGCATGCTTGTAATATTGTGACGAATGAAACAGCAGAAATGATGATTATGTGTACCGATCTCCGATGTGTCGGTAGGTACGGAATGAAAGCATGAAGCACTACATACAACTGATAATATATTTTGAACATTGGATAAAAAGTTCTAATTGCCCTAGACTAGTCCAAAGTTATTGATGTCATTGGTCATGACTCAATGATAGATAAATTAAAGTACTACGGTTTGGAGAATGTTGCACTTTTTCAAATCATATTTGAGAAATTTCCGGAGTTCCTCAGAGATTTACACTTGGACCACTCTTATTGGTTATACTGAAGTCGTCCACTATTTCACTTCCAGTGATATCAGCATGCATCAGATTCCTTTCAACGCGTTTCGGAACTCGTATCAAATCAAGTAAAACTCAAAAAATGTTTCTTAAATTTATTGGTTTTTTATGTTTTTTTGCAATTTAATTTTTTGTTCAATTTATGCTACCACTAAAGGTTCAATTAAAATGGTATCCTAAACAGTACCTTTTTTTCGAAACTATTATAGTCTCAAAACAAATAAGAGTAGTGCAATACCTATGATTTTATGTAAAAAAAAATAGAAGAGCAGAATTGAAAACTAATATGACAAAGGGGCCGCATCAACGCCCTTGTTTTCTTATCAAGGGCTGTGCATACATTTTTGAAACTCCCTGCATATAAATTACTAAATTCTTGTACTGTTGCTAGTGAGTGGAATATATCTTGTGTAACTCTAGTTAAAGGTGACAAAAATTATGCATAGAATTATAGACCCATTAATTATGTAATTTTGCTTAGATACTGGAATTCGTTCTTCATGATCGTTTATCAAAAATCATATCTCTCGATAGATATCTTCAGATCAATACGAATTCATTGAATAGAACAAGTCAACAAAATGTGATATGTACGGATTTCTCTAAAGCTTTCGACAGAATTGATCAAATTATTTTGTTTCTTCCCCTTATAGAGCTTGATATTTGCTAAAAATTTTAAGTTGATATCATTTTTCGTTTTTGAGTTAGGATTTTTTTAAATATTTCAACCCCCCTTAACCCCCTCATTTTTATTCATATTTTTTTTCAGAATCAATAGGCTTTATATCCTTGTCAAAATTGTATGCTGATATCGTTTTTCGTTCTTGATTTATGATTATTTTTTTTTAATTTCAACCCTCATCAGATTTTTCAAAATCAATAGGCTTCGTCCCCTTATATAGTTTGATATATGAGAAATGCATTGATGCATACTAAGCCCATATCTTTGTCTGCGTGATTTAATATATACCGATGCTATAGAGAGGTATTTGAAAATTTGAGAACGAGCTAGAAGCGTCTGGCCCGAACTAGCGCTAAAATTTATGTCTAGGAATCTTGAGAATCAATGTCGTTATGGTCTACCGGTAAGGGCATTTGTCTAGAGAACAAAGATGTCTAGGTTCGAATCCCGGCGACGACAGTCTTTTTTTTTAAATTCAAGTATTTGTTTTCATGTTTGGAGTTCGGGGATGGTCTTAATAATTCGTAAAGGAATTTTCAAATTATGTTACAGTAATAGCTACGTTTTAAAGTAGGTATTTGTAATTTTTTTCACATCTATATGAAAAATTTCCACCGAAGTTATTTAATGAAATTTTTCGGTAGGGTGTAAGGTTATTTTATACCCTTAAATGTATTAACAAAAACTTTAAAACAGTAAAGGACGAGTAGGTTGTTATTTGGAAAAATAGGTAAATATATTTTATATCTTACTACTAAATTATATTTGTAATGTATATCCCTAAGGAGTACAAGTAATAACTTACTGAAACAGAAAGTCACGGACTGTCGGTATCAACCCACCAAGCGATTGAATGAGGGATATCCTTTTGGTTATATATTTATTCCTTTAAAAATAGTTTTTTTAAATTTACCTCTAAGAAAATCCAGATGAGTATCGATGACAGCCTCCTGATCGGTCGCCAGGAATCTGGAACTCCACAGGACGTCCCCGTCGATGGGCTGCTGTACATGGCAACTTAGCTGGGTGGCGAAGCCCCCGTCCAGCAAGCGGATGTCTCTTCGGGACCCACTCCCGGTGACGGCACCGTTGGTAGCCGCCTCGCTCTCCGGTCGGGCCTCCGTCGAATTTCCAATTCCCTGGGGAGCCATTCTACGATTTTAATTGTTCTGTTACTGGAAAAGAAGAGAGAAAAATGGTTGAGTGTGTTAGAAATGTCGGGTGTAAGTGGTGCTTGGTCATTTTTTTTTAACTCTGGCTGTAGTTACGGTAGCAGGAAATTATAAATTAAGAGTGCTCAATCGATGCTAAGTAACATCAACGTTACTTTCTGACAGCAGTTTTCAACGCTAGTGAGACTTAAAAGGCAATGACGACACAAATGTAAAGAATTTGATGCGTCTCAAGCGAGGACAGGATTTACCGGACCAATATTATGTATTTATCTAAATTATTTCTTAAAATTTAACCCCTGTTAATTTTTTGTTTTTTCCTGCACTAAATATCTTACAATGTTATACTGAATTGCCGCTAGTATACATTTTTTTATATAAAACAATAAATCTCCGAGAAAAAAATTATAAGTCGACATAAAATAGTAGTTTGTGCAACAAGAGTGGATATGGACAATCCACTCGAGTTGTATAGTATACTCTTTCTACGATCCACTAGGTTATTAATACAAAATAACTAATTTTAAAATAATTTATGAATTTTACTAATTTACTAAATAAAATGAACATGAAAATGAAAAGATTTAATTTAATTAGTCCCCAGCCCAGATTAAAACCCGAGTTTTTGCGTGGAAGGCAGACGCTCTGTCCTCACATTCACCGTCACTTTTATGATTTTAGTTTTAATACTCTCAATTAAATTAGTTTTATATAGTTTGATTAAAATATTTTTCTTTTAATATATGGACTAAATAAAAATAAAAATTATTTATCGATTTTACACAAAAATAACTCATTTTAATGTATATTTAATCTCAATAACTAAAAAATACACTAACAATTAGCATGACAGAATTGTCACTTTTATTGGGTGTCCAAAATATGAACTGTGAGTGGAGGATTTCATTTTTTTGCAGTTTTCTCACTATCTAGAATGGATATGAAATATACTCGTTCAGTTGAATACAATAGCATAGTTTTTCGTTTTGTAGCTGTAAAAATATTATATACCGTATTTGAGTGAAAACCGTAAATAAATAATTTATAAATTCATAAAAAAGTTAACAAATTTAGTATGTGTAAGTCGATGGAATGCTCTCAAAAGAAAATTATATAAATATTAAAACTGTGACGTCAAAGGGAACTATATGAAGTATTTTCACATGTTCCAAAAAAAACTTGTAATAAAAAATTTTTGGCACAAACAATAATTTCTAATTTTAGAACTAGGTAAAATATTGTAAATAATATCGTATTAAAATAATCCACAAGTAGTCACAACGCAGTAAGTTTAGAAGCAGATCTTTTATCTAGGTTTACCTTATAGGGCTTCCTTTCATTAATGGTAAAATTATTCCTAACCTGTATTTATTCATTGCGACCCGTGAATTTAAGAATAAAAACTATCCAAAAACATCTATTTAGAGTCTTTATCAATCATCTGTCGTAAATTGCCTAGTAATTATCATTGGATTTGCAAATACCTCAGCAAAAAATAAGTCTAAAGAATTCACATCTGGTAACCTAGGTTACCGATTAACCATTTAACCTATTTAAACTATTCAAACGCCAAACATTCAAATATGATTAAGAAATTGTATTTACGTAAACATTGATGCTAAACTATCCTAAATGCTTTTGCAGATTTTTTCCACGCTTATATGATCAACTCTCATTTTTTCAATCACATGATACCTCGGTCCAGGTCTCGGTCAATAATAACACAATAGTGTCTTTCAGTGAATGAGGTATTACCCCGATTATCCGCTTTTAAACAAATTAAACCGGAAATGACTAGGGCCGACAAGAGGGGGGGTAGCAGGGACTAATTCCCGGGGCCCGGGCTCAAGTGGGGGCCCGGCAGTGGCATAAGGCGGAGGAGAAGTTTCTGCTTGAAGACCGTTTTTTTTTTGTAAAGAAATTCAGAGAAGTTTTTGGTTGGAGACCTTTTTTTTTCAGAGAGATTCAGTGATGGAGAAGGTTAATTCTAGCTTACCCACTTACTACCCTTTTAAACTTATTTAAGTCTTAAATCTAATATATTTCCTGAAGCACGGAAACTCTCTAGGGTCTATCTAGTTTATAAACAAAGGAAATTAATGTGACATTCTAAATTTTCAACAAATATTAATTTTAGCAGGGCATTTGAGGTATCCCCTTTGTTAAAGATCCTTAAACATAATAAAACAAATATTTTAGAAAAATTCTCAGTCCAACTCTGGCACGCTTATAATTTTCGAGGTCATTACACGAGTCATGTGATTAGTTTCTACCAAAGCGATTGGTTTGGCGTTTGTTTTTAGCGGGATCTTGCCTCTACAAGCAGAAGATCCTTCTCTCTTGACGGTCGAGTGTCGATGGCAAAAGACTTGTTTTGCCGTTGTTAAAATATTTGGCTTTAACCGGGGCGTCAGTCGCCATGTTAAATTTAGTATAATAATTTTAAAAAGCTGAAATGCTGCCAAAGGTGTGATTAATTTTACCACTTTAGTACTTACTAAGTAAGTAAAATGGTGTATGTTCATTTTGTGATGTAACAGTTCGATGATTTTTCAAGATTAAATGGTGTTAATTTCATTTTCTATAACAACGAAGGAAAACCAGAACTTTACAGTCAAACAGTCCACTTTAGTCTTAGGATTAAGTTAAATAAATGTACGGAGAAACACCCTAACACCCTTTCTAACAAAAAAAAAAAAAAAGAATCATAGAATTTGGACAACGTGGTAAAGAAATTTTTTCTAGAATTGGATATACGTTAACTGTATTAGATCAGAGAATAATTTGTTAGAAAAGTTTTTTTTGGTATTTGATAAAATGATAAAATATCAGCTATCAGATGTCCTGTAAAAGTAAATCGAGCCCTTATCTGTTTTATAATGTAATGACAAACTTCCAAGGCTTCTATTTTTTTATTTATTGAAACATATAGATCGGAAAGAGGATAAAGTCGTCTTTTTTGAGAAACATTATTCATCTTCGTTTTCTAAAAACTTCTAGTTGATCAATAATTGTGTCCATTTCATCATGTTCAATACATAACTAGCTTTTTTATTGCTTTAGTCACTTCTTCGTGGCCCTATCTCATTGACATGTCAATTTCACTTTGTACAGGTACTATTCAGAAATAGATAACTTTAAAAGTCATTTTATTATTAGAAACTCTTGTAGATTAGAATTTGGTTTTTACCGTATCTTTTGAAGACATATTCTTTATTTGCATTAAAATTTAATGTTATAATTTTTGTTTCGGTATTTTATCATTTACTTGCGAATTCAAATATGGTGGTGCCCAACTCAAATTTCAGGAGAATTAAGTTAATACATCCTAGAGCTTAATCTGCGACCCTTATTAATGAGCTTTAATCACTTAAATAGTAGAACCAACAACAGTGGTTACAAATATTAGGATTAAGAAGATGTTTACTACTAGCCCAATACTTGCAAGTCCAGATTATTCGAAACAATTCATTATTCAAACGGATGCTAGTTAAACTGGAATTGGTGCTATATTATATCAGGAGTGTGGTTGTCTTGAACATCCAATTGCTTATGCTAGTCGTAGTTTAACTAACAGTGAAAGGAAACTATCCACTAATGAAAGAGAATTACTTGGATGTATTTTTGGGATAGAAAAATTTCGTACTAATTTTATTTAAGATTCATCTTTACATTATCTTTATAAATCGTCCAATCCTTCTGGTGGTTTAGCTCGCTTGGCTCTTCGCTTATCTAAATTTGATTTCAACATTAAGCACAGAAAAGGCCTAGGACTGTGAGTGATTTTTTAAGTCATTCTGTTAATGAGATTTCCATCTTAGATATTAAAGAATTCAAACCAGTCAAATGGTATAATTCTATGTTACATAAAGTTGAAACATATCCTGACAAATATCCCTCTTCCAAAGTTGAAAACTATAAACATATTTTTTCTCACAATCCCTTGATATCTAATTTAATGAACTGGAAAATTGTTGTACCTGCTAAGAATTGTAGGACATTCTTAAAATTTATCACGATGATGTTACAGGAAGTCATCTTAGTATTTCTAAAACTATTTTCCGGATTTCAAAAATTTCGACTTATTAAAAAATGTAATATATGTTCGTCTTGTAAAAGTATGAATGTACATAAAGTTGGTATTATGGGTAATTATAAAAATATTATTCAGCCTTTTCAATGGCTATTAATGGACATTATTGGACCTTATCCAAGAACGAAGAAATGAAATAAATATGCTCTAGTAATTACAGATTGTATCACAAAAATTTTTTTTGCTCATACTACATCTAAAGCTACTACAACTAATATAACTAAATTTATAGAAAGAAACATTTTTAATGTTTTTGAAAATATAGGCCCCACATTATTATGGAATTAGAGGTGTACCTGTCACTCATTTCATCTTATCTGAAAAATAGATCGCAGGCTGTATATTTTAATAATACCTCATCTAAGTTTAAAATGATCACACATGGAGTACCACAAGGTTCTGTCCTTGGGCCTCTACTGTTCATTATATACGTCAATGATCTAATTAAATATATGAACCCTTGCAAAACTATTCTATTTGCCGACGATACGACCTTTATCTCAACTGGAAAAGATCAATCTGGTTTATTAAATGCTACTAAGTGCAGTATTGAATTGTCAAAAAAATGGTTCTGTGCCAATCAACTTATGCTAAATGATACAAAAACTCAAAACCTTAATTTTGGATCTGGTAGTTCATCATCGGAACTTGACAGTGTCAAATTGTTAGGTGTAAAACTTGATAGTAATCTATCATGGACCTGCCATATCGATATGATTGCTAAAAGATTATCTAGTTTGTTGTTTTTGCTTCGGCGTTTGGCCTTAATTACCAATTTTCAATGTTTAAAAATGGTATATTTTTCATTGTTTCATTCCCAGATAGGTTACGGAATTATTCTTTGGGGTAATTCATCAGAGGCAATGAAATTATTTCGTATGCAAAAGAAAGCCATAAGAATCCTAGCGAA